TGTGGGTTTCTGTGTGGTGAGTCTGTGGTCTCTGTGTGGTGAGTCTATGGGTCTCTGTGTGGTGAGTCTGTGGGTCTCTGTGTGGTGAGTCTGTGGGTCTCTGCGTGGTGAGTCTGTGGGTCTCTGTGTGGTGAGTCTGTGGGTCTCTGCGTGGTGAGTCTATGGGTGTCTGTGTGGTGGAGTCTGCGTCTCTGTGATGCGTCTATGGGTCTCTGTGTGGTGAGTCTATGGGTCTCTTTGTGGTGGGGTCTGCGTCTCTGTGGTGAGTCTATGGGTCTCCGTGTGGTGGGGTCTGCGTCTCTGTGGTGAGTCTATGGGTGTCTGTGTGGTGAGTCTATGGATCTCTGTGTGGTGGAGTCTGCGTCTCTGTAGTGAGTCTATGAGTGTCTGTGTGGTGGGGTCATTGGGTCTCTGTGGTGAGTCTATGAGTGTCTGTGTGGTGGGGTCTATGGGTCTCTGTGTGGTGAGTCTATGGGTGTCTGTGTGGTGGAGTCTGCGTCTCTGTGATGAGTCTATGGGTCTCTGTGTGGTGGGGTCTGGGTCTCTGTGGTGAGTCTATGGGTCTCTGTACGGTGAGTTTATGGGTCTCTATGGTGAGTCTGCATTTCTGTGAGTCTATGGGTCTCTGTGTGATGAGTCTATGGGTCTCTGTGTGATGAGTCTATGGGTCTCTGTGTGGTGGCTCTATGGGTCTCTGTGTGGTGGCTCTATGGGTCTCTGTGTGGTGGCTCTATGGGTCTCTGTGTGGTGAGTCTATGGGTCTCTGTGTGGTGAGTCTATGGGTCTCTGTGTGGTGGCTCTATGGGTCTCTGTGTGGTGGCTCTATGGGTCTCTGTGTGGTGAGTCTATGGGTCTCTGTGTGGTGGCTCTATGGGTCTCTGTGTGGTGAGTCTGTGGGTCTCTGTGTGGTGGCTCTATGGGTCTCTGTGTGGTGGCTCTATGGGTCTCTGTGTGGTGAGTCTATGGGTCTCTGTGTGGTGAGTCTATGGGTCTCTGTGTGGTGAGTCTATGGGTCTCTGTGTGGTGGCTCTATGGGTCTCTGTGTGGTGGCTCTATGGGTCTCTGTGTGGTGAGTCTATGGGTCTCTGTGTGGTGAGTCTATGGGTCTCTGTATGGTGGCTCTATGGGTCTCTGTGTGGTGGCTCTATGGGTCTCTGTGTGGTGGCTCTATGGGTCTCTGTGTGGTGAGTCTATGGGTCTCTGTGTGGTGGCTCTATGGGTCTCTGTGTGGTGGCTCTATGGGTCTCTGTGTGGTGAGTCTATGGGTCTCTGTGTGGTGGCTCTATGGGTCTCTGTGTGGTGAGTCTATGGGTCTCTGTGTGGTGGCTCTATGGGTCTCTGTGTGGTGAGTCTATGGGTCTCTGTATGGTGGCTCTATGGGTCTCTGTGTGGTGGCTCTATGGGTCTCTGTGTGGTGAGTCTATGGGTCTCTGTGTGGTGAGTCTATGGGTCTCTGTGTGGTGAGTCTATGGGTCTCTGTGTGGTGAGTCTATGGGTCTCTGTGTGGTGAGTCTATGGGTCTCTGTGTGGTGGCTCTATGGGTCTCTGTGTGGTGGCTCTATGGGTCTCTGTGTGGTGAGACTATGGGTCTCTGTGTGGTGAGTCTATGGGTCTCTGTGTGGTGAGTCTATGGGTCTCTGTGTGGTGAGACTATGGGTCTGTGTGGTGGCTCTATGGGTCTCTGTGTGGTGAGTCTATGGGTCTCTGTGTGTTAAGCGACGATTCAGCGAATGGCGACGATCCGTTTTGAGAATCCGTTTGTCGCTTGCTACTGCCCGTGTCGCGGGGCTGAGCGGTGTGCACCTCCAGCGGCCGCAGGGGCTGAATGTGAACCCATGAACGCGAAGCGTACGAATCGAATTACCCACCGGCACCCTGCCAACCCCAAGCTACCTCCACCCACCCCCCACCACTGTGTCGACTGCCAAACCCCATCCAGCTGTGGCCAGCACGCATCATTTCACTCCACGTGTTTTCTGTTCCGCTAGGCCGGGTTGTTTTTGTGAACGGCGAGCGTGGCGGCCGCCGATCCGTGTTCAGGATGCCCCGGGTTGACGTCGGAATGGCCCTGCGAGCCGATCCCGCGCTCCACTCAAGCGGTCTGCCACTGCGAGCCACTCCCGCAACTCTGCATCAGCTCCCCCACTCCCCCACTCCCGCACTCCCGCACTCCCCCACCCCCGCACTCCCCCACTCCCCCACTCCCGCACTCCCGCACTCCCCCACTCCCCCACTCCCCCACTCCCGCACTCCCCCACTCCCCCACTCCCGCACTCCCCACTCCCGCACTCCCCCACTCCCGCACTCCCCCACTCCCGCACTCCCGCACTCCCCTACTCCCGCACTCCCCCACTCCCGCACTCCCCCACTCCCCCACTCCCGCACTCCCCCACTCCCGCACTCCCCCACTCCCGCACTCCCCCACTCCCGCACTCCCCCACTCCCCCCACTCCCGCACTCCCCCACTCCCCCACTCCCGCCACTCCCCCACTCCCCCCCACTCCCCACTCCCGCACTCCCGCACTCCCCCACTCCCGCACTCCCGCACTCCCCCACTCCCGCACTCCCCCACTCCCGCACTCCCCCCACTCCCCCACTCCCGCACTCCCCCACTCCCCCACTCCCGCACTCCCCCACTCCCGCACTCCCGCACTCCCCCACTCCCGCACTCCCCCACTCCCCCACTCCCGCACTCCGCACTCCCCCACTCCCGCACTCCCGCACTCCCCCACTCCCGCACTCCCGCACTCCCCCCACTCCCGCACTCCCCCACTCCCGCACTCCCCCACTCCCCCCACTCCCGCACTCCCCCACTCCCCCACTCCCGCACTCCCCAACTCCCGCACTCCCGCACTCCCCCACTCCCGCACTCCCCCACTCCCCCACTCCCGCACTCCCGCACTCCCCCACTCCCGCACTCCCGCACTCCCCCACTCCCGCACTCCCCCACTCCCGCACTCCCCCACTCCCGCACTCCCCCACTCCCCCACTCCCGCACTCCCCCACTCCCGCACTCCCCCACTCCCGCACTCCCCCACTCCCCCACTCCCGCACTCCCCCACTCCCCCACTCCCGCACTCCCGCACTCCCCCACTCCCGCACTCCCCCACTCCCCCACTCCCGCACTCCCCCACTCCCGCACTCCCCCACTCCCCCACTCCCGCACTCCCGCACTCCCCCACTCCCGCACTCCCCCACTCCCGCACTCCCCCACTCCCGCACTCCCCCACTCCCGCACTCCCCCACTCCCGCACTCCCCCACTCCCGCACTCCCCCACTCCCGCACTCCCCCACTCCCGCACTCCCCCACTCCCGCACTCCCCCACTCCCGCACTCCCCCACTCCCCCACTCCCGCACTCCCCCACTCCCGCACTCCCCCACTCCCCCACTCCCGCACTCCCCCACTCCCCCACTCCCGCACTCCCCCACTCCCGCACTCCCCCACTCCCGCACTCCCGCACCCCCCCACTCCCGCACTCCCCCACCCCCCCACTCCCCCCACTCCCCCACTCCCACTCCCCCACCCCACTCCCCCACCCCACCCCCCACCCCCCCCCAAGCAATTTTTCTCGCTCGCGCCGCTGTCCGACTCCGCGGTGTTCGCGCGTCGATTAGTCGGCCGTGTGCGAAGCGATTATTATCCGTTTGTACTGTACGGAGGATTCCGCACTTGAGGATCCCACACGAATCACATTGGGCAAACAAAAAAAAGTGATTCTCAAATCGGATCGAGGGGCTGAATTGTGATCGTCCATCGTATCGAATTGCAGCGGAACGGGGGGGGGTATGTAGGTGGAGGGGGTGCGATGTTACCCTCCTAATTAGCGCACGCAGGTTTAGCGAACAGCTACGCGGAGTGGTGACTCCAATGTCAGCGTCTCTTTGGTCTTGATCTCTGGGTGGGTGAGATGAGTCGGTGGTTAGGTGGGGTGAGGCGAGCGCGTAAGTGGGTGAAGTGTGTCGGGTGAGTGTACGAGTAGGATGCACCAGTGGGTGAGCGGGGAGCGGGGAGCGGCAGTGTAGTGGTTAGCGTGCTGCGCTTCGAACCCGGTCATCCAGGTGCGACTCCCGCTCTTGGCCAACATCAGTGACGATTATATTAATATTATCTGAACCGGTTATGGGCCTTCCGTAGGTCGATTTAGCCTCAAATGAGCACCTCGTGCGGTGTGTAAACATCGACAGTAGGGAGACAAAGGCGGCCGGGCGTGGTGTTGGACAGCCACCCCCTCGTGTCCCGGGACGGCCTTCATAGGTGCTCGCTAACAGCACTTGCCCCAACAATCTGCTAAGGCTATACAGGTGAACTTTGTCTTTGTGTGGTGAGTGTGCAGTGGATGTGGTGGATGAGCGAACGACCGAGCGAGTGAGTGGTGAGTGAGTGTGTGGTGGATGTGGTAGGCGAGCGAGTGAGTGGTAAGTGTGTGATGGATGTGGTGGATGAGCGAACGGGCAACCGAGTGAGTGTGCGGTGGATGTGGTGGGCGAGCGAGTGAGTGCTAAGTGTGTGGTGGATGTGGTGGATGAGCGAACGGGTGACCGAGTGGTGAGTGAGTGTGTGGTGGATGTGGTGGATGACCGAACGGGCGAGCGAGTGAGTGGTGAGTAAGTGTGCGGTGGATGTGGTGGGTGAGCGAACGGGCGATCGAGTGGTGAGTGAGTGTGTGGTGGATGTGGTGGATAACCGAACGGGCGAGCGAGTGAGTGGTGAGTAAGTGTGCGGTGGATGTGGTGGGTGAGCGAACGGGCGATCGAGTGAGTGGTGAGTGTGTGGTGGATGTGGTGGATGAGCGAACGGGCGACCGAGTGGTGAGTGAGTGAGTGTGTGGTGGATGTGGTGGATGACCGAACGGGCGAGCGACTGAGCGGTGAGTGTGCTGTGGATGTGGTGGATGAGCGAGCGAGCGAGCGACTGAGTGGTGAGTGAGTGTGCGGTGGATGTGGTGGATGAGCGAGCGGGCGAGCGACTGAGCGGTGAGTGTGCGGTGGATGTGGTGGATGAGCGAGCGAGCGAGCGACTGAGTGGTGAGTGAGTGTGCGGTGGATGTGGTGGATGAGCGAGCGAGCGGGCGAGCGAGCGCGATGGAACGAGCCGGCAGGGGCCGGGCGGCGTTCCAACTCCGCCGTGGCGAGCCGCGGCCGCCAGGGGTCGGCCTCGGGGCCTTCACAGCTTGCTGGCTGGCACGGCTCCTGGCGTCTTCTGGCGCAGGCGGAAGACGCCCTCCTGTGCGCAGGACACTGCCAGCGTCCCGTCCCTCCTCCACAAGCGGCCCAGCACCAGGCCTCGGCTGCTCCCTGCGGGCGCACCAAAGGGGCGGGCCCACCGACCGCCGCCGGCGTCACGTCAGCCAAATTGGCGGCCCAAAAGTATCCGGCGGCTCGCAGCCATCGGGAAAGCGAGCTCCGGCGGGGGGAGGGGGGGGGCTGGACACGCTGCGTACACGTGTGCGCGTGTGTGTGTGTACACGTGTGTGTGTGTGTACACGTGTGTGTGTACACGTGTGTGTGTGTACACGTGCGTGTGTGTGTACACGTGTGTGTGTACACGTGTGTGTGTACACGTGTGTGTGTGTACACGTGTGTGTGTGTACACGTGCGTGTGTGTGTACACGTGTGTGTGTGTGTACACGTGTGTGTGTACACGTGCGTGTGTGTGTGTGTGTTGGCACAGTAGGGGGCACAGGCGGTGCATCGGCCGGTCATCTCAGTCAGTCGAACCGTAGCACCTGCCGGGTCTGCCCCCTGACCTCCTGCCGGCGGGCGTTCGACACTGCACGTGGCCTTAACGTGCACATGGCCTGGCACAAGCGACGTGGTGGCATCACCGCCACTTAGTGGCGAATGGCGGTTGTTGTTGTTTGTTGTTGTGTACACGTATGCTTGTATGCTGGATTTAAAACATTCAGACTGATCTGCCTACGATCCATCCAGGTTTATCCAGGTTAACGACGACACACAGTGCCAATGTCTCACAGCGTGCGCGTGTGGGTGAGCAGCAGAGTGGCGTTTAGCTCGATGCGCTACAAACCCGGCGACCCGAGTTCCTTTCCTGCTCACGGCCACCAACACCAGTGACGGATTATCTGAACCGGTTTGAGGCTGAGCCTCGTGACCACGATGAGAACATGGAAACTCCAAATATACAGCAGGTGTCAGAGTCAGGATCAAACCCACCAGGCGAGGTAGTTAACATCTTCTCACCACCCCCACATCACCCCCACATCACCCCGCTGTCATGAAGCAGCACTTCTGCCTTTTACAACGGACATTAAAAAGTCGAGTCTCACGGCCGGAACACAAAGTGTTCCCATTTATATCAAGATGTCATTATGGTCAGAGCCGCTAATGCCACCACACATCATTGCTGACGCGTTCCGCCCTCTGACAGATCCTGCACAGTAGAGACACGCAGCGACCTCTACCATCTGTCCTCACACAGAGAGCCATAGCCTTCCCACAGGAGACCCACACACTCAGAGAGCCATAGCCTTCCCACAGGAGACCCACACACTCACACAGAGAGCCATAGCCTTCCCACAGGAGACCCACACACTCACACAGAGAGCCATACACTCAGAGAGCCATAGCCTTCCCACAGGAGACCCACACTCTCACACAGAGAGCCATACACTCAGAGAGCCATAGCCTTCCCACAGGAGACCCACACACTCACACAGAGAGCCATAGGCTTCCCACAGGAGACCCACACACTCACACAGACACCAATACACTCAGAGACCCAACACACTCACACAGAGACCCATAGGCTTGCACAGAGAGCCATAGACTTCCCCATACACTCACACAGAGACCCACAGGCTGCCCGCACAACATCTCACCATCTGGCCTCAGGTCTTCCCCGTGGTCATCACCGCGTTCGTGAAGGCCATTCCAACGCCTGCCCCGGTGGTCGGCCGTCCTCCACCCTACGCACGGGAAGAACCGAGCGTAGCCGCCGTCGCCCGATGGCACATCTGCACCTCCCCCCCCCACCCCCCCCCCCCACCCCCCCCCCCCCCACCACCAACACTCTCCATCTCCCCCGCCAAAATTTCTACCGCAAAATTCTCGGCGTCCGTCTCGAGACGTGCTCCCCCCCCCCCTCGCCCCGCCCCTCCACCCCCCGAGTTCGATACCCCAAAACAACTTCCTTTTGTCGAGCCGCCGCCGCCGCCGCCGCCGAAGAAGTCAGCAGCTTCCGGCTCTCCGGCGCTGACGGTAGCGTGGGCAGCAAGTGCCCGCGGACGCGAATCGTCGTCACGGCCGGGACCCTCATCTCTCTCCTCTTCCAAAAGCGGTTTCCTCGGCCCGCCGCAAAGCCTGACCCCCGCCAAACAGACGCGCCTCTTTACCCCCTCCCCCCCCCCACCCCCCACACCACCACCACACCACCACCACCACCACCGACCCCTCCGGCATTACGGACGTCACTGCCTAAGGACGCGAAAGTCCGCGCCCGCGCCGACCTCCGCTCCGACTACCGCGACGCGCGATCCCTCCTCCGCGGCCGCGGCCGCGGCGATCGACACCGGCCCGAGCCCGAACACAATTGGCCGCGCGTCAGCGCCGGCGACGACTCTGAAACTAAAAATCCGCAGCACAAACGAAGTCGTCCGTTCAACGGGAGGTCGGCGCGAGCGTACAAAATTAACCGCGTGGACGTCAATGACCGCCGTCGCTTGCGCTTGCGCTTGCACGCGCAAGCGAGCTGTTGGGGAGTGCCCCCTCGAAAAAAAGGTATCTGTCCTACTCTTCCACGCGGGCGGCCAGACGTCATCGAAGACGTGCGAGTGCCCAGACCGTACGTGGCGGCGGGGAGAGGAGTTCAGGTTAAATTGACATTGAATGAATGCACCTTGATTCACGGCGAGTGATACGTATCTCAACCGGTTCCGCATGGTTGTCTACCCCCCGGTTTCACCGAAACCCGCAACTGACCAGCGTTGGGAAGTATGGCAAAAAAACAGCCCCCACCGTCCGTGGCGGGGAGGACTTCATCCAGCAGTGCGTGTTCAAACGCACGTTGCGCATGCACGACGTACTGGCACGCAACAAAAATTAAATCTCCCCTTCCTTCCCAGTCTTTGTCTCTAGACATTAAATAAACTCAACTTTAAACTGATTTTTATTTGACCACGTAGGACGCACCGAGCTATATACAGCTCTTTTTCAGAAGCGATCTGCCCACGAATGATAGCCCAACGAAGTGGCTCATCACGTGGAAATGTATAGCAGCCAAATTAACCTTATGGCGGTACTCCGGGGTCCCACAAGCCCCCGGGGCTCTCGCATGAACTGCGTTGCGACGTCATTTTACGTCCGTTGAAGGCGAACGACACAGGCGATCTATTCCTCTCGACGAGCTCGACGCGATGCGCCAATCAAAGTTTCAAAGTTTTGTTTGTGACTACGGCAATTTTGGCAACGACGGGTGCTTGGTGAAGAACGAGAGGATTGATTTCTGGTGGGTCGCGGCATTCGTTTGTGTGCGCGGAGTTGGGACGGAGTCGCCAAAAAACCGGTAAATTAATTACGATTTCGACTTGAGTTGATTCTGGACCCCGGGCTCCCGCCATGAATGCTCAAGCACTCCAAATGCATGAGTCTAACCGCGGAGGGAAAAGACCCCGGGAAAAAATCCACGCGACCACGGGGAGAACATGCACACTCAAAATATGCAGGCGTCGGGCTAGAACCCACGACCTTCGCTGCACACCGGGCGAGGTAATCAACATCTCGCCACCTTGGCGCCCTGCCCCCACTGGGTCAACTGCCGCGCCTGGAGGTGGGGGTCGAACCGGCCAGCTCAGCGCCGCAAGTGCGGTGCGCCCGCGTTACGTCCCGGCGACGGACGTCACCGGTGCGATGAAGGCGAATGAACATTTGAGGAAGTACGAAAACGATACGTAGAAAATACTTCCGGCAGTGTTGGGAGCTTGAATGCCAGCGGGACCACCACTGAGGGCAGGACAGGGGAGGCATTTGACACGGCAGCCTTCGGAAGGGAAAATAAGCGGGCGTTTAGTGGCTGGGAGCGAACTTTTGTCCGAAGAAATGCCACAATTTGCTTAATGAGCAGCAATTAGGAGCCCAGGCAGCTTTTATCCTGGTCCACAAACACAAAATCAAGGCTCCACCACTCTCACATGGGCTCCAGACTTTGAGCCAAGCGCTTATTGACAGCAAAAAAAAAAAACAGACCTCGCTTTGTTTCGCTAACAACATTTTTTTTTTCCTCCAACGGACGCTCGCGGACGCCCGAGGCGGCCACCGCTGTGGGCAGCAGGGGGCGGTGCAGCCAGATCCGCTGTTGTACCGTACCGCTACGCTCCCACGTCCACGGCCCCCCCCCCCACCTACCCGCCTTCAGGAACACGTGTTGATCAGCAGGTAGTGGGGGGGGGGCGTGGGGCTAACGGTTGTTTGCCCATACTTCCACACTCTGGAATTCCCTCCCCATCGTCGTGAATCCCTGGCTCTTACAGAGTGCAGTACAACATCACATGTTTGCTGGTCTGGCCCCTCAATGCCGCCCACGACGTAGCCCCGCAGAAACCCTACAGCGCTCTGGGCTTTATTTATTTTTTTTACTTACGCATGGCGGTCGCCCATCCAAGCATTACCGAGGCTCAACCCCGCTTAGCTTTTCCGCGCTGCGATGAGATCGGGCGCATTCCACGTGATTTAGTCAGAGGCGTGTGTAGTAAAAAAACGACACGCGCACACGAACACGTGTAGCTGCGCACGTGTACGTACGTATATAGTCTGCCCTGGAGGCTAAGGGAGGGGGTGGTGGTGGTGGTGGTGGGTACCCACAACTTGGCACGGACTTCAATAACTCCTCGGGGAGCCACGAGAAGCGGTTTTTGTGGGGAGCGCCATCCCGAACAACGCCGGCATGCGGCTGTGTCGCATTAACCGAGGAATGCCGCGCGATGGGAATTCACGTTTTTTTTTGTTTTTGTTTTGCCTGCAATGCCTTTTATTGCCATTGATGCGCCCGCGCCCGCGCCCGCGCTATAACGCTCCTGACGAAGCGAACGCTACGTGTCAGGTGTGCGTCGCGACCCGGCCCATTAACAAACTGGCCACGCTGATAAAAAGGGTCGGCCCCAAAAAACTTACGGTGCTCAAACCAGACGAAAAAACAATCATATTGTTGGTTCTTTCGGTAAAGTCACGTTGAAGGGAAACAATAAAATAACAAAATATTTACATATATATGTAAATATTTACATATATTTTATTATTTTATTGTTTCCCTTCAACGTGACCTTACCGAAAGAACCAAGAATATGAATCACTGCAGTCACGAAAGCTTTAAATCGAAAAACAATTAGTTAAAAAAAATATATATATATGCGAACGACTTTTGACCCCCCCCCGACAGCTACCCGTCAGAATCCGTGCTGCTAATGAATGCTTCTGAAGACAAAACGCATTGTGGAAAGCGTTACATGATCCACACGGAGGCATTACTTATACCCAACTAGTTTATAAGTGCCATCTCGGTGGGTCTTCCTCTACTACATACACGCCACACACACTACAGTCGCACAAACACTACACACAGTGCATCCACACGCCACACACACTACAGTCGCACAAACACTACACACACTGCATCCACACGCCACACACACTACAATCGCACAAACACTACACACACTGCATCCACACGCCACACACACTACAGTCACACAAACACTACACACACTGCATCCACACGCCACACACACTACAGTCACACAAACACTACACACACTGCATCCACACGCCACAAAGACAATCGCACAACCACCACACACACACACATATCAAAGACACACACACCAAATAAGAAGACAAAGATCCCCCCGTATAGCCTGAACAGACTGTTGGGGCAAGTGCTGTTAGCCAGCACCTACGAAGGCCGGCACGGCACACGAGGAGGTGGGTAGCCACCACCTCTATCTCCCTCAGTGGCGACGTTTACACACCTCACCGGGTACTCATTTGAAGCCGAGTCCACTTAGGGGAGGCCCAGGACCGGTTCAGATAATCGTCACCGGTGTTGGCCGTGAGCGGTATTTGAACTCGGGTCGCCGGGTTCGGAGCGCGGCGTAGCGCTAACCGCCACACTGCCGCTCCCCACCGGGCCTACCTCTCTCTGCGAGGCGGCCGGGGCCTCTGAGAGGCGGCCGGGTCTTGGAGAGCGAGATGACATCACTAGGGTCCCACAAACCCAAACCCTGCCAAGTGTCCGTGTTTACACAACCGCGCAGCTATGTGCTCAATTCATGGCCCTCGCCTGCGCGTTGTGTGCATGCGTGTGTATGTGGGGGAGGGGGGAGCGGTGGTGTAGTAGCGGTTAGCGCTATGCTGCGCTATGAACCTGGCGACCCGGGTTCGATTCCCGCTCACGGCCAACACCGGTGACGATTATCTGAACCGGTCCTGGGCCTCCCCTAGGTCGACTCGGCCTCAAATGAGTACCCGGTGAGGTGTGTAAAGATCGCCACTAGGGAGACAAAGGCGGCCGGGCGTGGTGCGGGACACCCACCCCCTCGTGTGCTGTGCCGGCCTTCATAGGCGGTGCTCGCTAACAGCACTTGCCTCAACAGTTTGTTCAGGCTATGCGGGGAAATCTTTGTCTTTTATGCGTGTAACGATTGTGAATGCATGCAGTGCGCGTGTAGTGTATGTGCGCGCGTGTGTGTAGTTCGTGTATGTAGTGTGTGTTTGTGGTGCGTGCGACACGTGTGTACAGTGCACGAGTGCATTGTGCTATGCGTGGCGTTTGTAATATTTGTTGGCGTGCGCGTGTGCGTGCGTTCACTGTGCGTCGGTGCTCGCTGACAGCACTTGCCTAAAAAAGTCTGCGCGGCTATGTCGGGGGGTCGTAGCCTTCACCGTGCGTGGATGTCAGTGGCTCGCGCACTGCGCC